TTAAAAGTGATGATGTCACAAGGTGTAGAAAGGGTGTGGTTCCACATGGGCGCTTACAGGTGCACTGGACATCAAAAAGTTAATATACCAGTTGGTGGTCAACTAGCATGATGTGTGATCAGTGTATAACCCACCTTGCTGTCTTCTGAACCGGCTCAAATGGAAAATCAGGGCACAATAGGCACACTAGAGAATGGTATTCCTTTGCAGACAACAAATCTGTGGTCAATAAAAAATTAGCTTCCTTTACATGTTTGTCCATTTTCTTTTTGTTCACACTGCAGTACATGTAAACCAGCCACTGAATGTTCTCTTTCTCAATAATTTGCTTATTTATACTAGTCTTAGGAGTTTTCCACCAATGTTAGTCACACCTGGAACAACTTTAAATACAGCATTTCCTCGAAAAAGAGCCCTTCTCTCATTACAGGCGTTCACTCCTAAGGACATAACATCAAACCCCCCCTCCCTCTCCTCAAATATGTATCCCCCTCCTCCTTCACTTCTCTTAAATAATAAGGATGTACATACAAAGAAAATCTGTTTCTATTGAAACTTTATTTATAATTTTTCAAGCTTCAACTACAGTGGAATGAGTTCAGGTTAATAGTTTCTTAAAAAGCATTCCCCTTGATTAACTGCCCTCCATTCAATAACTGCCCCTCTTTTACCCAAATTTTTTAATAAAAGCGCAGGACCAGGTTGTTCAAAGGTGGGTTAAGATAACCCAGGGTTAGTGTGATAATTGATTTCAGACCTGAAAGCTTTAAAAGAAAATTCAGTTTAATTCCATTTGTCTACAATTTGATGATTGACTGCTCTAAAAAGAATTGGGAAAATTATCCCAAAACGGCTTTTGAACAGAGAATATAGAAACCTGGATTAAAATTTAACCCTGGGTTAGCACTAACAGGCCTTCAAACAGCTGGGTCCAGGTGATTACTTGAGGAAATGTGGCACTTGTAATATAGCCTAAATTATATTACAAACCAATTGATCATCTTCAAATTAAACTACTGCAAAACACAGACAAAGGAACAATTATAAAAGCCGAAGGAAAACATTCGCAAACAACACAACAATAATGTTACAAACTAAGTTAAATTTATTTCCATGCAAATTCTGATTTCTTTTTCTATCATACCTCCATTCCTTCCAATATGTCTAAAACATTTCCAAAACACTCTGATAAAAGAAGCAATATTGTGAGGTGTCTTCTTGATGTAATTGTACTCCCTGAATAGAGTGTGATTCCCTTGTACAACACTCCTGAAGCTTTAAAAGAGGACATGGTCATTGAGCAACAATGCAAGGAATCTAAATTTTTTAATTGTTTGGAAGAGTCTACAAATTACGATGTCAACAGTACTTTTCTTTTTTTCATGAAGTACAAAATTTTATGATTAACACTCATTTCTTTTCAGAGGCAATTGTTTGATTGTAAAAATATTTTATTCCTAACCTAAAAGGTAAACTTGTTGCCATTGCAACTTGTGTGTGTTATTTGTATGTCTGTGTGTGAATAAAAATTAATAATTTTGCAATCACCCTTGTTAAGCCTAAGTTGAGGTAATTTTGAAGAAAACAACAATAAAAAAATGTTTAATTAAAAAAAAACCAGGACAATCAAATGTCTAGAGCAATTTGATTTACAGGGACGAAGTTTTCTCTGCCTGAAATGTCTTTAAAAAGAACTCTGTACCTACTATGTTCCTAGGCAGAGAAGAATCATTATATTTTCCTCAGTAGAGGCCCTTCTCCTCTATTGAGAATGATATACTTAATGAAAAGCACATTATGATGCAACCTAAAATGATAACCAAATCCAAAGAAAAAAATTAGGCCGTGTTTAAGATGTTCCAGTTTCTCAATATTTACAAATAACTGAATACAGTACCACAGCTATTACTAAATTTATAACTTACAATAATGATGAAAATAATGATAATGACAAAAATGATTATGACAATTCCACAAATGGAATATAAATCATACAGTAGATAGATAAATTTCAATAACTGCTTACTAATCACTCAGAAATCGAGCCGGAATGACTCTTGGATTCTCTTCCTTATGTTCCAATAGCTGTGCAACTGCATCCTGCCATATACAATTATTATAAAAATCACAAAAAAAATAACATCAAAATATAATTAGAACATAGCTGGCAGAGTCGCGCAATCAAATTCATTATACGTAAGCGTGCTCACAATCCCGATAGTGCACGCTGATAGCGTCAGCAAATCTGACTTGGCCAGAAATTTTTTTTTCGTGCGAGCGGCCCTGGTTAGCACGGTGAAAAATAATATATTTCACAACAATAATGGATACAAACAGAAACTCGGCCTACTAGTTCGAAATCGAAGACAATGTTTTGACCATTTCCCTTGGGCTAGAGTTCTTAAATGAGGCAGAAAAAGAGAAAAACAAAGGAAAAGGAGACTCGGCATCAGCGCCGTTACGATGCGCTTCAACTGATATTATTGTCCGTTTTTCGCGTCGGATTTGATGCACAATTCCACCGGTTATCTTCTAAAACAATTGGTTCATGCGTTCAGCTGTGCACTATCAAGTTATGGAGCACATGGGAAGTTTGGAGAGCACTCAAGAAGGAAGAGTTGCCCTCGGCTATCGCCTCGGCCAACTCTTACGCTTCTTTTCTTTAACTCAATAGTGCATGCTAAAGCATGAACCAATTGTTAATTAAACGCTAGTCACTTGCAATAGTGTTAGCTAATTATTGCAGAAATTGAGAATTCATTTTAAAAATATTATGTTTAAACTCTCATAACCCTGACCTGTACAAAATATACAATAATGATATTGATGAAAACAATTTTAAAAATAAAATGAGTAATAATAATAATAATAATGATAATAATTTAAAATAATAATAAATCACTCATCTCTTGTACATCAATGATATGAAGATCTACGCAGCATCGGAAAGCAAACTGGACAGAGTCCTAAAGACAACCAAGGCAGCTATGGTAGACATAGGGCTGGAATTTAGAAGAAGTGCGCTGTTGCCCATGTAAAGAGAGGAGTTCTGGATAGCCATCCTAACAACACGCATGTCAGAGAGTCTCAGATCATAGAAAGCTTAAAGGAAGGAGAGAAGTACAAGTTCTTAGGAGTTCTTGAAAATTCCAAGCAGGAGGACATGCTGGTCCTATGGAGCATGTCAAAAGTTTTCCTTCAAAGACTCTCTGTAGTCTGGTCAAGCCCGTTGTCGGATTACCATAAAGTTGTAGCATCAAACCAGTAAGCACTAGCAGTACTAATGTACCCCATGCTGACCAAGGGAACAACAGATTTACTTTACCCGGCCAAAAAGCACAGAGGAAGAGGTCTCAATTCAATAGAGTCAACGTACAAGACTGTCAAGGTGAAGACAGCGAATTAAGCTATACACAAGTGAAGATCCAACAATGCCCATGGTACAAGAGTTCGAGGAAAAGTGCAAGGGAACTTGAAGACGATCTCTGAAGAAAGGCGCCGAGAGATATGCTTCGGAAAGAGGACTTCGTCTGAAGTTACGCTACCCATACTCAACTACTAACACTGAAGAAGGAGAAAGAATCCCTGGAGAGAAAGTCAAGGCTACGATGAGGATCAAGGAAGAAGAAAGTAGGACTGAGGAGGTAGGCCAACAGAAATGGCAAGGAAAGTTGATTAAAGCAAGATGGGATAATGCAGATGTGATTGGCTGTTTCAGTTAGCTATGCCACTGGAAAACTGCACCCACACACACAGTGGCTGGAGTTTACGAACTATACCAACAGCTACTCCCCACTAAGATTTACCGACAGTAAAAGACAAAGACGAGCAACAACAGAGATGTCAAGCTATGGAGAGCGTCCCCCATGTTTTGAGTGGAGGTGGTGCACTAGCGCAGAGCAAGTACAAGACCAGGCACGCCGCAGCCCTCAAAGTTCTATTATTTGATCTCCTCTGTGATATGGGCCTAATAGAAACTGCACCCTCTTGGTGCTCGCCTGAACCACCAAAGCCAGAGTACAAGAATGATCAAGCCAGTGCCTTCTGGGATGTGCCAGTGTATCCAGAGAAGACGGAAGTAAGAGCAAACCAGATGGATGCAAGAGTTGTGGATAAGCAGAAGAAGAAGGTGCTACTACAGTACTAGAGATGAGTTGCCCATGGATGGCAAACAGGAAATAGATTGAAAGAAGAGATAACCTTGAAGTATGCACCTCTAGATGGGAGATGCGTCAGCAGTACCCACACTATAAGATTGCACAGCACAACATCACCATCAACGTAATTTGAATAATTATATCAACAAAGTTGAAATGGTAAATTGGCCACCGTTATGATTATAAAAGCTGACGTTTCGAGCGTTAGCCCTTCGTCGGAGCGAATAGGGGAATTGTGGGTTGTGTGTACTTTTAAAGGCAGAAAAAGGAGCTACATGATTGGTGGGAACATGGCAACGAGAAAAACACGAATAAATTGGTGGAATGAAAAGCGTTCGTTGATACCTGTGGGATTTAGACTGCCGGTTTGAAAGATGAGCTTTTGTTCAAGAGTTTTCCAGCTTTCTGTGCTACCTAAGTGTAAGGAAAGACTGCAGATTGCCATGTGTTGCTTAGATGTCCTTGGGGGTGCATCGAGAGACACTAGATAGTATTACAAAACTTGTAGGCATCAGGGCAGATAAGATCTTACTGGATATGCAAAAGGCAGTCATCTCATTGTTGTTGTTGTTGTTGTAGGCATCAAGGCAGATAAGATCTTACTGGATATGCAAAAGGCAGTCATCTCAACTACCCTTAACATTACAGAGAGTTTCAAAGTTGTCACTGCATAGGACCTATGAACTGGCCAAACTTTTACCCACACAATTCACATCTTTTAGGGTTTCTTATATCGTTTGAAAATTACTTTAATTTACTAATTATATTAGGCTACGGTAATGACAAGCTACGCGATTGCGCCTTGTTAATACCTCATTTAAGGAGGCATCCTTACGTTTTACTGCCCATAATAATAATAATAATAACATTAACAATAACAAAACAAAATAATGACAGCATCTATTAATGCAATCTCTCTTTATTTTTGTGCGGAAGTGGAAGGTTCATTATATGACATAGCAGTGCTAACAACAAAATAATCCCCGGAAAAGCCTTCTCTGCTCTATGCAACCTAAACCCGCATACCATATCATCCACTGTATACCTTAATACCCTGTATCTTACCTGAAGATACGTCAGCACATGGTACTTTGCTGAAAGAGAAACACAAATTATGCCTGAGACAAGAAAATATTTCCACATACGGTTGTCATGCAAACATGTGTCAGTTGAAGCGTTGTGTTGGTTTGTCAAATTACAAGGTTCTCTTACCTAAATACTGCTCAGCTGTTAAGGAAAATCTGTCACTTTCGTCGGACATTTCATAAAGGTGGTGACTTCTCCAAATTTAGAGAAATATCCAAGACTTGCAAATTTTAAGTTCAAATTGCTCCTTTCCCCGCCATGTTGGATAGTCTGCAGTAGTATTGAACAGCGGATGTTACCTTGGAGTCATGTCTGGGAGTGCCAGCGGGTATTAAAGAAATATTCAAGATGGCAGATGAGGATCTCAATTTCGAAGACGAATTTTACAAGAAACTGCTTCTAGAAGAGGCCAAAAAGCTAAAAAATGCATTACCTGATAGGCACGAATTTCTACCAACTCCACAGTTTGTTATGAAATTGCGGAACAGTAAAGAAGAGAAAGTATTTATCAATATTTGTACTTCAGATAAAATGCCTCCAGCTCAAGATATAACAGAGGAAACATTGGTTGAAGTTTTGCAATCTGAGGATCCTACGAAATATCGTGTACCTATGAGTCTTGGAGAGCCTCACGTCGAAGTTGATAATCGTGGCCAAGGTGAGGGTCGTATGTTTTGAATGCTCCTCTCTCTACAGAAGCTTTGTGTTACTGTTGTTTCGAATGCCGCTGTGCCACTTAAATAAAGCGATCCGCATACTTGACCTGGCTCATCCGATCCGGTTGATATAACCGGAAATACGGACAATTTTAACCCCTCCACTCCCTTGGATTACACTCAAAATGTAGTTTGCTTGTCTTGACTCAGGGAGTGTCAGTTATCCCCTGGTTAAAGGTTCACTTAGCTGGCAGAACAGGCTAGGGGAAATGTGTTTTTTCGCATTTCTCAGGCAAATAGAGACAAGCACAAGGTTCGCACTCCTTCCCTCATGCGTGACTCTCACTTTGGGCTTACCTCCTTTCTACTGAAATGTGCAGAAAGGTAATGCCCATACTGCAGGCTAAGGCTCCCTTGTCAAAATTAGGTTGGTGCATTTAGGGAAATCATAGTGGATGCAATTAAAAAGTTGTTGCCTTTGTGCCTTGCCTATAATTTAGAAAAATATTTGGTAAACATGTTACTTTATTATCTTCCTTCACTAGTAGCATAACATTCACTACACTATTTCTTGTTAATTTTTTGATATTTTTAAAACTCTTCTGCTCATTTTAGGTTGCACAGCATATGATGTGGTTATAAATCCAATGTTTTACAACAAGATACAAAACAGTGAACTCTTCAAGAGGTTCTTCTTGACAATTGTTTTTGAGGGACTTGAAAGTAAATATAATATGGAATTAGAAAGAAAATGGACTGTACTGAAGAACAAAAAGTGCATGGGAGTTCTCCAGCCCCATTGCATAAGAAGCCAAAGTAAACCAGTAATAATGGAAATGGAAAGTGACACCAAAACAGCTACAAAGCCAGGTAGTAGTGGAGGGAACTTTTTTATTTAAACCTTTTTATCTCCCAGAAATGATCAAATTGTAAGTTCTCATTGTCACATCAGCACAGAGTGAAACAGGCAAGCAATGATAATTATAAAACATTTTACCAATAAGATACTGTAGTGTTGTACATGTACAAAGCCAAATTTTTTATATTGTGGTTAAAGCAGAGTTAGTGGCCAGGAGTAGTTAAAGGTTCAGTTTGATTTTCTTGGCCATTTCATGGAGCATATCATTTCTTCAACACCCATTTTTCTAAGGGGGAGGAACTGGGATTTAATGATCATTATGCTGAGCTCCCGATTTTGAGGTACAAGGCTAAACCTTAACAGGTTCAATTGTGTCATGTTTGTCCGGAACACTCTTTACTGTCTTGCAGTGCATCTTAACCTAAGCCTGCAAGTTTTGACAGGTACCATTTAACTTAAAGGGAAACATATTAACAAAATGCTTATTAACTAACGCTGTGTTCAGCACCCTCTGCAGAATAGTTGTAGTTACTTTATTCTTCAGGAATTGAGACAAGCTATCTGGCACACAGGGCTGAGATGGAACCAATCCCTCAACCTTTTACTTCTCCTAGTTATATCAAGGAAAGGGTCTGGGGTAAATGGAGTCAGTAACCCAGCAGCGAAGGAAAAGGGATCTGATCTGATACGGGAACAAGAAGCAATCATCATTTTTAAAAAGAGGAAATGTCAAGAAATAGAAAAATATTTTTGAGTTTTAGAATTTTTTTTTTTTTTTTGGAGTTTAGAGGATAATAGCAAGGCATTCGAAAATCTGACCAAGAGTCGTAAATATCTGTGATAATTATTTCACAATAATAGTAATGATAATGAAGATAATACGTATAATGCATGATCCTCGCAGTAAAGAGCGCTATTTATGCAATAGCGAAAATCAGACCTGAAAAAAAAAAATCAGGCCTGTATGGGATTCGAACCACTGACATTTGCAATACTAGTGCAGCGCACTACCAATTGAGCTAACAAGCCAACTAGGGGCAGGCCATTAAGTTGATTCATAATAAACCCATGACGATAAATCAGATACGATGAATATATGAAGTTCATATATTTTGAACTGCAGTTATAGATACGTATGATGCACGTTCCTCGCAGTAAAGAGCGCTATTTATGCAATAGTGAAAATCAGACCTGAAAATAATCAGGCCTGTATGGGATTC